TTCTATTCTATTCCATCCCATTCCATCCCATTCCATCCCATTCCATCCCATTCCATCCCATTCCATCCCATTCCATCCCATTCCAATTCCAATTCTATTCTATTCTATTCTATTCTATTCTATTCTATTCTATTCCATCCCATCCCATCTCATCCCATCCCATTCTTATTCTATTCCATTCCATTCCATTCCATTCATATATATGGAAGAGTGAACTTTCAGAAACTCCATGTTGTAGGCTAGGCTGGGAAGTTTTTGCAAAAAAGGAATTGTATGCTATTTTCATGTTGGAACTGTCGAACTGAAATGACCAGGAACTGACATAAAGAAGATTGACCTTTTAAGCAAGTAACTTTCAGCCAGACGTCCATCCTTTTATTGCCCTGGTCTCTATTCAAGAAAGGATGAGATGCAGATGTGAGGAGCTTATCACGAGGAATTTATCCCGTAGAGAAACTTTGCCAGCCAACCAATTCCTTTTAGGTTTCTGAAAGCTGATACTTCTAAACTTAAGATCTCACGAGCTCCTTTCTAACCCACCTTCCAGATCTACGTAAAACAAGGATTTCCAGGAAACCAAGTGGGTTGAGGTGTGTGGAACTGCAGTCTTGATTTTGTTTTTCTTTCTTTCTTTTTCCCTTTTCAGGTGCTTGAAAACTTCCTTTGTAACAGCCCAGAAGTTGTAAGCCAAACATTTTGAGTTCCTTTCCATCGAAGTTGCTGGCTTGTGTTGACAGAAGTCCCGATCATCATCACCACCACCACCCCAGCTTCTTTTTTGACTGAGTGAACTGTCCTTTGAAGGATATAAAATGTATCAGAGTTTGGCCCTTGCTCCAAATCCTGGCCAGTCAGCCTACTCCCATGATTCCAGCAATTTCCTGCACACCCCAACAAGCCCGACCGTTTACGTCCCCACCAGCCGAGTTTCCTCTATGCTCCAGGGCCTGCCCTACCACCTGCAAAGCTGCGATCCCACCCACCAAGGGCATCCTCTGGGCGGCCATCCTGGGTGGGGCCAACCCACCACCGCTGAGGCTACCCACTTCAACGCTGGCAGCCCTCACCCCCCTTCCAGTTTTGCTTACACCCACAGCCCTCCTGGGGGCAGCACGGCCGGTCGAGATGGGGGCTACCAAAGTCCACTGTTGCTGAGCGCCGGAGGAGGCCGTGACCAGTATGGGAACACTCTGATGCGTACGGTCAATGGATCCTACTCCAGCCCGTATCCCGGGGCTTATGTGAACCCAGCGGAGATGACGCCATCTTGGCCTGCCAACCATTTTGAGAGCAGTGTCTTCCATGGTCTCCAGGCGCGACAAGGAGCCCTACCGGGCCGGAGATCATATGGTATGTGGCATTTATTGATTTAACTAACGTTTATCATTTTTACAAAGAGTTCAAAGCACCTCCTATTTTCCCCACAACAAGAAGCTTGTGAAGGTGGGCTGGGCTAAGAGAGAGGGACAAGACCAAAGTCATCCAGCTGTCTTTCATGCCTAAGATGAGACTAGAATTCACAGACACCTGGTGGTTCACCCAAAATCACCCAACTGCTTTCATGCCTAAAATGAGACTAGAATTCACAGTTACCTGGTGATTGGCCCAAAGTCACTCAGCTGCTTTCATGCCTAAGGTGATACTAAAATTCACAGTCACCTGGTGGTTGGCCCAAAATCACTCAGCTGCTTTCATGCCTATGGTGCGAAGGCATGAATTCAGTCTCCTGGTGCTTGGCCCAAATCCTCCAATTGGCTTTTGTGGTTAAGATGGGACTTGAACTCATGATCTCCTGCTTTCCAGCCTGGTGGTGTGTTAACCGCTAGGCCAAACTGGCTCGCCTATCCCCAATTGTAGCAATTCCAGTCTCCTTGTAATGATTTGCTATCAATGATTTGGGTGTAAAGACTGGTGTGGCGGTAAATGTTTCATTGTTTATATGCCCTTGGTTCTGGTAGCCTCTATTGTAAAATTGCAGAGTTTGGGAGCAGTCACAAAAACAGAAGGCAGAGAAATTTGAATCATGCCATAGTCAGCATTCACATAGGGGCAGTGAGGAGGGTAAATGAAATTCAGCCAAGAGCTGAAAATATTGGATAAATAATTCTGTGCTGAGAAAGGGAAAGATTTAATTCAGGAACAACATCTGTGTTGCATGTGCAAATCCATATCCATATTCTTATCATGGTTTTCCTAACGATTTCATTGGAAAAAAGCTTGTGGAAATATCTGGTTCCATTGCATTGCTCTTAGAGTAGAGATGTATGCTCCTGCTTGAGCACGGGGTTGGACTAGAAGACCTCCAAGATCCCTTCCAGCTCTTATTCACATTATTACACAGTCAAGGGTTTATCAATTACTGGCTGGAAGCATTTTGATGAGAGGCTTTTGACATTTGGTTTATATTATGAAATCTTCTCAGGCACTTAATTTAACAAATGTGTTTCCCACTTTTGTGCTTTATTCAGTAATGGTTTTAGATCTGTTGTGTGAACCAGTGGCATTACAAGAGGCTGAGTTACAGCAGTGGTTCCCAAACTTGGCAATTTTAAGACTTGTGGACTTCAACTCCCAGAATTCTCCAGCCAGCAGAGCAGAGCAGAATTCTGGGAGTTGAAGTCCACAAGTCTTAAAGTTGCCAAGTTTGGGAACCACTGAGTTACAGAATGTTAGAAGATGGGGAGGGGGGGGCATTAAAAACTAGTTACTCTGTGATAAAATGGGCTGCCAATAAACGTAATAAATAATAATTGCCAGAGCCTTATTATTTTTAGGATCTTTGCCAAATGCTGCTTGAAGAATAAAGTAATTTCTATAACAATGAGCATTAGAAACTGTAAATAACAGTTCTGGCTGGTTTGTTCTATATATGATTGTATAGTGAGATACAGATCTAGCAGTTACATTCTGTTATTCTTAATGTGAAAGTCACTATACAATAGTGACTGGATGGCCTTTAATGTTAACAAAACATTTGGTTAAAATAAGAGTTTAGATGGAAAAGATACTTGCAAGAACCTTAGATTGTGCTAAGCAGGGAGATGTTTAGCAGACAAGAATGACACACAGTTCACACACAGCAAACACACAATATTATTAATTTGGCAAATGTGGGGATCTGGTTGTCAATTTATCCCCCAGTATTTCTCACTTAAGTATAGATCAATTACGTTTGATTCTATCATGTCTGTTAGGGTTTTTTTTCTGATTTTTTTTTCTAAGTCACTTGGTGTCCCAGAGGTGCTTTTTCCCCAAAAGATAACTGGACTTGTATTTTTTTTTTTCCTTTGAAAACATTTTGCTTCTCCTCCAAGAAGCTTCTCCAGTTGAGGGTGACCCGTCTCAAATCCAGCAAAAACCTCCTTAAATATCTCTGGAGATTCCCTTTTTTATTAGTATTATTAAAAAGGTTTTTTTAAATTAAACACACATTAAAGCATTGGACACAGTGTTACCATCCGGGCAATGTCTTTGCCAAACATACTAGAACATAAAGTTAAATATTATAGCCACCATGCTTATTTACAATTAGTCTATTCCAGTGTTTCTCAACCTTGGCAACTTGAAGATGTCCGGACTTCAACATTCAGAATTCCCCAGCCAGCGGATGCTGGCTGGGGAATTCTGGGAGTTGAAGTCCGGACATCTTCAAGTTGCCAAGGTTGAGAAACACTGGTCTATTCAGTATTTACAAATATGAGGATATTGCATTTCCCTCCATGTGGCTTTGTTCTTGTCTTATACATTTTCACTGTTATGATTCTCAACCATCCAGGCCATAATTGTCCCAAAGGTGCTTTTTGAAAAGACAACTGGACTTTCTTGGTTATTATTTTTTCTTTGAAAATGTTTCGCTTTTCATCCAAGGAGCTTCTTGGATGAGAAGCCAAACATTTTTAAAGGGAAAAAAAACCCAAGAAAGTTCAGTTGCCTTTTTGCAAAAATAAATAAATAAACAAATTTTAAAAAGCAACTTTGGGACAATCATGACCTGGATGATTGAGAATCTCCATAAACACTTTCATGTTAGTATATTTCTCTGCATCAGAGGTATGGGAGTTATGTGCCTAGGTTAAGTATCCTTTCAAGGACCATGATTTTACAAAGTAAAATGCCCCAACTTAGAATAGAATAACTTTGGAAGGGACCTTGGAGGCCTTCTAGTCCAACCCCCTGCTTAAGCAGGAAACCTTACATCACTTCAGACAAATGGTTATCCAACTTCTTCTTGAAAACTTCCAGTGTTGGAGCATTTACAACTTCTGGAAGCAACTTCCAAGAAGTCGCATACTAGGGTAGTAGGGCCAAAGATACCCACAAAAAGCTAAAAGGTTTAAGTGTGGGGTGGAAACTTCTTCCGCAGAGACAGACCCATTACAGGAAATTATTTTTGAAGAGCTCTTAATGATGAATTCCAAAGGAAGACCAAGTACCCATTAATTAGTTTCTCTAGGAAGTGCCCTTGGCAAAGCGAAGAAATGTAGAATAGTGAGTTCTGTTTCCAGGGTTCAGTCCTCTTAAAGAAGGATCTAAGTTTTCGTCTCATTAGTTCACGAGCATGTTGGACAGAATACTGAAAAATAATGTGCCACCCAACTAGAATTGAACCTAACATGCATTGACTTGAACATGCCTGGTCTGTTGCCAAGTGTTCTTTGGAGTTTGTGACTTTGAGATTTGACCTGGGCATGGTGTGTGCACATATCAGCACGCATACCTCATCAGCATAAAATGCCTTTGGATCTCCCCCCCCCTCCCCTTGCAGAGCCTGTCAAAAAAAGCCAGCCCAAGTGGGAAATAACTTATTTAGATAACATTCAGGCCAGCCAAATGTAGGCCCCCCGGGGAAAGGTTTCACTCCTGAGAAGTTAATAACAGAGTTGGAAGGGACCTTGGAGGTCTTCTAGTCCAACCCCCAGCTCAGGCAGGAAACCCTGTACCATTTCAGACAAATGGTTATCCAACATCATCTTTAAAACTTCTAGTAATAAAGAACCCACACCTTCTGGAGGCAAGCCGTTCCACTGATTAATTGTTCTCACTGTCAGAAATTTCTCTTTAGTCCTCTCCTTGATTAGTTTCCATCCATTGCTTCTTGTCCTTCCTTCAGGTGCCTTGGAGAATAGCTTGACTCCCTCTTCTTTGTGTCAGCCCCTGAGATACTGGAAGACTGCTATCATGTCACCCCAGTCCTTTTTATTAAACTAGACATACCCAAATGGAAGTAATTCCCTTCCCACCCCTCCAGCCTTCTTTCTTTCATTCATTGCCATCAAAGGGACTAGCACCTTACTGTAAGGCAGTGTTTTGTCAACCTTGTAGACTTCAACTCCCAGAATTTTCCAGCCAGTCGTGCTGGCTGGGGAATTCTGAGAGTTGGAAGTCCAGACAAGGCACCAGGGTTGAAGAAATGCAGCTCTAAAGCGTGTACATCTTCCCACCAAGTGTTAACATTTTCCTCCTCTGGTTCTAAGACAAAGGTGACTGTTTGTTGGAAAGTGGAAATAATTTCAACCCCTAGGAAAATTAATGGGAGAGAGAGAGAGAGATGATTGAACAGATGGAGACCAGTTGTAATGGAAGATTAGGGCCTTAACTCCTATTCTGATGCCAGTGTTGGAGCACTAATTTTTTTAAGCTTGTACATTGAAAATGCTTCTTCCAAGGGTTTGGATATTTTGATTGCTCCCAATTTGAAGCTGAATTTTTTTTTTTTTTTAAAGGAAAATCTAAAAGCTTGCATAGTTGGGGAAGACTATGGCCTGTTGAGAGGACTGTGCATTTAAAGAAGTTTTTTTTTTTTGGAGCAGAATTAAAATGGGTACAGGAAAAAAAATAACTTTATAAGGGCTTCCTCCTTCTGCCAGCCTATTCTTAGCCCTATATTTATTCCAGATAAAATTCCCTGGACTTTTTCCATTGAAAGGAGCAGGGAAAGTGGTGGCAATACTGCCGGGCCCCGATTCCTACACCGAATCTGAGTTCCCACGGGGTTTTAAGCCCCTTCGGCATTCCTTCTCCCCGGTTTTTAAACTTGCAAAAAGTTTTAAAGCAGCGCGCGGCGGCTGGAAAAAAAAGGGGCTCTTTTTCAGGAGAAAGAGATGCGAGAAAATTCGGGGGGGGGGTCTGGTTTTTTTTGTTTTAAAATCCCGCGGGGTTAAAATGTAAGCAGTAAGCTTCCAACCCTTTTAACTTCGCCCGATTATCCGGTTTTTATGCTGACTTCAGAAGTGACACGGGTTGGCGTTTCCACGAAGGGAGCAGATTTATAGCCGCTCCGATGTTGCTGGGTGTTTTTTTTAAAAAAAAGTAATTTATGGAGGGAGAAAATGACTTTTCCAAGCCAACAA